AGAGAGAGAGAGAGAGAGAGACAGAGAGAGACAGGCAGAGAGAGAGAGGTGGGGAGAGAATGGCTAGGCTGTTAGGCACACATCAGTAAACAGCTCTCAGTGTCCTTAGGGTCCATGTAGAGGAAGGAAACACCCAGACTGTGTGTAGGATGGGAGATTTATTTGTGTAGCCTAGAAGACAGCCACAGCAAGAGGCCATCCAGAGAGCCAGATCAGTGTTAGAATGGTATGGTAGGTCCTAGTTTCAGACAATGTAGTGGGAAAGGAAACAAAGAGACTTCCAAGAAGAAAACAGCAGAATTAAAATGTTCCCAAGACTAGATCTAAGGTAGAAAAAGAAACAGGTTCCTTTCATTCATTCCACAGGTATCTATTGGGTATCAGGTAAATGTCTGGCGCTGCTTGCATTAGACACGGGTTTGCAATAGTGGGCTTGCATTCTATGGAGCATACAGATGATAAATCAGTAGACATCTAATATATAAGCAATGGTAAGTATGAAAAGGGAATAATAGGAAGAGGGAAGAGCCATGGGGAGGACAGTTCCTCAATTCAGACGGGTTGTTCTTTTGGACAGGGGACTGATGTGGATACATCTAAAGAATTGAGAGAAAGGTGTGAGATCAAAGCTTCCTATTTCGGTAGTTGAACAGCTGCTGTCGACAGGGACAGGAAATGGGAATGGAAGGAAGATTCAGATGAGATAGCAAGCACAGGAGCAAAGATTCCAGCTCTGGAAATGTTGGGTCTAAGACATAGAAAGCATCTTCCAGTGGTGATGTGCGGGACACAGGAGATATTACATCAGTGGGGGTTCCTTGATTTAAGGTATGTGCAGAAGGAGTCACCAACCTAAGAGAGGAAGAATAGATCAAGTGAAGGGAAAATGAAACATACTATAAAACCTAAAGGAAGCAGAAACTTTCAGAGTAGTTAAAAATAAAAGGTAGTTTAAAAGACCTTCTAGGATTTGGCCATTTAGAAGGTCTTTAGTGGACTCTGAGAGGGCAGATTCATGGAGAGATACGGAAAGAGACATCTCTCTCCTCAGGATAAAAAGAGGAGGAGGAGGAAGGAGCCAGGGAAGGGAAGCATTGGTTCCAGTAGTGAGTGATGGCAGAGAATGAAGTGGAAAAATAAAGGAAGGCAAGTTTGAGGGAGATGGAAGCTTGAAAGGGGTGTTCCTAGATTTTGTTTTCTATATTATTATTTGCATGCTTATTTTTCAGAGTTGCGATGGAACCAGGGTCTTGTACATGCTAGGAAAGTGTTTGACATTGGACCTGCACCCCAACTCTCTTTGCTTCTGTTTTGATATGATGATGGTGTTATCTGGTTATAAAATAAAGTAAATCAGTTGTCAATTCCTTCTCACAGTCTCTGTGATCTTATACACTAACTCAACATAAGACTGTTTTTGATAAATGAACTTGGTCTAGGTTCTAGTATAGTGTTTCCATTTAGGCCTGGCTTTTCTATTTCTATTATTAAGGAGAACTCTGTCTTAGCTAAGGTTTCTATTGCTGTGAAGAGACGCCATGATGGAAGCAACTCTTATAAAGGAAAACATTAAATTGGGGCTAGCTTCCAGTTTCAGACATGATGCTGGAGAAGGAGCTTAGAGTTCTACATCTTTATCCCCAGGCAGCAGGAGACTGTGTCACTAGGCCTAGCTTTAGCATACTTCCTTCAACAAAGCCACACCTACTCCAACAAAGCCACACCTCCTAATAGTGCCACTCCCTATGGGCCAGGCACTGAAACACATGAGCCTTTTGGGAGCCATTCCTATTCCAATCACCACAAAGCCCAAATATGATCCCAGGATCCATGGCTAACCTAGAATTTTTGTTTGATATTGACCTAGGTAAAATGTGTTCTAAGAAGCACAGACATTTAAGACCAATATAAGAAATGACCCAGAGTTAAAATAAGATAGAAACAAATGCGTCCAAAGTGCTGAGGATGGTCCTGGAAAGTATTGGTACCAAGTGATGAAACGGAGCCAATAA